CCTTCTTTTCTTCCTTCCTTCCTTTCTTCCTTCCTTTCTTTTTTTCTTTTTTTGAGGCAGGATCTTGCTATGCAGTTCAGGCTGGCCTTGAGCTCACTTGTAGACCAGGCTGGCCTCGAACTCACAATGATCCTCCTGCCTCAGCCTCCCGAGTGCTGGGATTACAGGCATGCACTGCCATGCCTGGCCTTTTCTTTTCTTTCCTTCCTTCTTTCTGTCTTTCTTTTTTTCTTTTCAAGACAGGGTATCGCTATGCAGTTCAAGCTGGTCTTGAATTCACCTTGTACCCCAGGCTGGCCTCGAACTCACAGCAATCCTTGTGCCTCAGCCTCCCCAATGCTGAGATTACAGGCGTGTGCCACCACGCCCAGCTTCTTTCCTTATTATTTGCAACACTTGGGATGGAACCCAGGGCCTTCACATGGAGCTACAGCCCCAGCCCTTTTCTATTTTTTATTTTGAGACAGGGTCTCGCTGATTACCCAGGCTGGACTGGAACTTGGGATCCTCCTGCCTCAGCCTCCCGGAGTGCTGGGATGACAAGCGTGAGGCACCACACCTGACAGCAGCTTTCACTACAATAGCTAGAGAGAGGGACCCCATGGAGCCACCCTCTCCTGCCAGCCCTCTCTGGCCTCAGTTTCCCATCTGTGCCACAGGGCCACAGACCCCCCCATGGGTCCCCTCTCTCATGGCCCCCAGCAGGACTCACCTTGCCAGCTGCTAAATCCCCATTCATGGGCCTGGCAGGCTATGTTTGCAGACGGCCTGGGTTCCTGCTCGGAGCTGAGGTCCCCTGGGTGGCTGTCACTCCACTCTGTGCCCGGGCCACCACTCCTAAAGATGCTGAAATAGTGCCCAGGAGAACCCAGCCAAGCCCCAGGTGCTGATTGGTGGACAGATTTGACTGACAGGGCCAAGGGCCAGTCACCAGGGACAGGCGGGGGAGGGCGGGAAGACCGTTATCTGGGTGTTTTTCGCTTTGGCAGCTGAAGTGGGCAAAGGCCAAAGTCTGGGTGTCTCAGCACTGCCATGACCTGTCCCCTACTTACGGGGACTGTTGCTCTCCAGTGTCACCGGATGTTGGGTTCCGCAGAGCCCAGGGTCCCTTCAGGGGTCCTGTCTACTACCAGAACAGGATGGAGAAAATATGGTCCCTCTGCCTGGAGCTGCCTTCTGGCTCGGCGCTGGTGACAGCCTCCTGTCCTCTCTCAGCATCCGCTCAGCCGTCGCCCTCCTCGTGTCCCCCGCTGCCCAGCCCCGCAATCAATTTCTTCCCGAAGCATCTGTCATTCATTTAGTTAACAAATATTTATTGAGCTAAATGTTTCCTGCCCCAGGGCTTTTGCACCCGCCGGCTCCTCTGCCCGGAACCGCCCTCCCGCCCCGCTGCCCGCCTCTGCGTCAGGATGGTGACAGATTCAGGGATGTCTCCTATTTCATGAATCAAAGACAGCTGAAGAGCCACTTCTGCTGTCCCCAGCAAAGAAGCCCCTGTCCTCATTCTCTTACCATATCAGCACTTTTGTTGAACCCTCAGCTATTTGAAATTTTCTTCTTTATTCGCTTTTGTCTTCCCCTATTCTCATTCCTGGGATGTATGTGAGCGCCTTATGGGCTGGGATCGAATCTCTCCCTTTCTCTTTCTCTCTCTGTCTCTTTCAGAAGCAGGGTCTCGCTATGTAGCCCAGACTGGCCTTGAACTTGTGACAATCCTCCTGCCTCAGCCTCCCTAATGCCAGGATGACAGGCTGCACCTGGGAACTCGGTTTATTTTTCTCTCTCAGTGGGCTGCAGGCATAGTAATTGCAATTAGACAGCTCTGCCCTCAGAATATATTCATACCCTGCCTCTCTGCCACCAGCTTCTTGAGCTGTCCCCTCCCCACCCTTAAGGGCTGGCCCTGCAGTCTCCACCTCCTCCCCACTTCCGCCCTCTGTGTCCCAGTCTTCTGCACTTATGACTCACAAGGCCCTACGTGTGTTTCGGCATCTCCCTTATGTGTGCTGTAGTTTGAAGAGTGAACATCCCCACAGGCTCATGCGTTGAAGTTCCCCAGAGGCTCTCGGTCACAGTTTGGCGCTACTGGGAGGAGGTGGGACCTTTAAGAGGTGGGGCCTGAGGTGGAAGTGAGGTCATTGGGGGCGTGGCCTTGGAGGGACTATTAGGACCCCTGTGACTTCCTCTCATTCTCTTTGCTTTCAGGCCACCATGAAGAAGTAGCTGGCTCCTATCATGTGCACTGCCACAGGCTCCACAGCAGCAGGGCTGACACACCACGGAGTGGGACCTCCAAAACTGAACCACAATATACCTTTGCTCCTTATACACTGGTGATTTCAGGTATTTGTAACAGTAACAGAAAGCTAGCTAGCCCACTACCTTAACGGTGCTGCCCAGTATTCCACACAGGTGGCATGGTCCTGCCCCAGCACCTTTGCACTTCCTGGGCTCTCAATCTAGGACA